CAAAGCAAGTGTGGAATTGAAAATTATTGTTTGTTTGCTAGGGTCATTATTTAAATTGTATTTAAAGGAACTTGGGTGTAATTCAACACTGGTAATCCAACTTGTATCCAAAGCTCCTTTTCTTAGGATGAAATTCTTCAAATTTAGTCAGTTTTGAATATTTTTAATATCCCCAACAACCAAATTGAATTTTGAATTAGCATAACTATTTTGGATTCCGAAATTTCATAAAAATCCTGACAAACAAAGATACAGAGCGGGTTTAGGTACATGCTCTTCCAAGCCTTTTTATTTACTCTTCACTATATATAAGATTTAATCAGTAATGAAGGAGAAACTTCAAGAGTACTGTACAACAATTCATTCGAGAAGTGGTGTAAATTAGATGTGAATACTAAAAAAAATTACAAGGGCCTTTTGGAGCATTTGAAATCACAATTTTTACCAAAACCAACATAACAGCAACGGGCTCAGGCGTCCTCCTGGGCAGGAGAGCATAAGTAACTTGTAGTTTTACAAAATATTAAACAATGTAAAAAAAATTACGATCCCACCTTTGCTAAAGCAAGGGGACATTCAATCGCATTTGTTTCTCTGTAACCCTTTATGCAAAAGTAATAAGACAGAATTTACATAAATTTTTCAGGTATTATATCACTTTTATATTCTATAGCGTAAAGTACACAAATCTATCGCTACAAAGGATGTTGGGTATAATGGTATTGAAATTTTAAATACTATACACATCCCAAGTTCCTTTTGACGTGAAAGTTTCATTTGACATATAAATTCTTAACAATTCCAGCGACACATTTGCTTCTCACAATACTAAAAAAATAAAATAGTAATATATCTAATACATAATGTGTATCAAAGTGAAAAAAAAAATCATTTAAATATGAATATCATTATCTAAAGAGCCCCGATTTTTTTTAATTGAAGAGATAAGGAGAAAACAAACAGTATCCAATATCAAAGTCTATAAAACAATACAAAATAGGAGCAGGGCAAATACGAAAAGTTTTCCACTAAAAAGTTTTTAAGCTGTTGATTTTTGGTAAATCTTGTGATTTCAAATTGTCGAAAAGTTCTGTAGAATTTTGGTGTATTCAAACCACTTCTTGAATACTGACAGTATATTGTTGCACAGTACTCTTGAAGTTGATGATTTTTATTATGTATAGAAGCGAAACTTATTTATTGCATTGTTACCGTTCCATAATCCTGATTCATGTAAATGTAAAATAATCAAATCGTAAATATGTACAATGAAAATATACATTATTTAAATTACTTATGAACAAATACAATATTAATATCAATATTCCTGGTTTTCAATATTGCAGATATCAGTTTTCATGTCTTATAATACAATGTATGACTAATCTGTTCCATGATTGAACATTTTACTTAAAAAAACTGAATGGTAATTAACCTAACAACAAAGCTTAATGATAAACGTGATGACCGTCAAATTCCCTACCATATGTAGCACTAGCTCAATACCATTATGGTTTATATTGCTCAGTTGATTCGATACGCAAGTGCAAATTCTTTGTACGAACAATTTCTTAAAGGGGTAAGGTATCTAAAAACAAGCTGATGAAACAAGAATATTAGCAGTCTCATTTAAACTCATCTGTTTGCATTTTCTTGTCGAAGCTGACCTTCTTAGCTAAACAATCTATCATCAAATCAAATGTTCGTAATCGGTTTCATACTAATTGTAATTTTAAGCTTTTCTGTACACTCTGCATAGTCTACAGATTTTTTTTTCAATGTTTCCCGATCATACGTTTGGCACACGGTTGGGGTAACTCCTGCATGGCACCTGATCCCACCTTAGATGTTTTAGGTATCTGCACTCCTCCTGATTTGTATCGTTACAATGGACTTTAAATGAACATAATAAGCATGCAATTTCTACATATTTTATTAAAATAAAACTGGGGGTTATCCATTAAAAATCGTGGAAAAAGCAATTTTCTCGGAAAATAATGGTCGAACTAAGCTGAAATTTTCAGCAAACCTAAGTGCATCTTACTTGTTGTACAAAAATAAAGATTTATAATGCGTGAATATGCACAGGGTAGGGTCCTACGGCACACTTTCAAAAAACCACGGTTTCATGAGAAAATACACGAGTATTTCTTCAAAATAAAAATATCGAATAGATAACATTTGGGGTAAAATTATCCTTTTTAATCTACTATCTTTTGTGTCATCTATTGGAAAATTTCTAGGCATTTGCTAAATTTTTTGGCAGTTTACTGAGCAATCGAAACGTGAAAGTCGTTAACACAACACACGAAAAATAGAGACGTTTGATGACGTTACGGCGCATCGGAGAAAATTGTTAAAATTTTTCACAGGCTATTTATGTTTATATGTATAAGAACGAAAGCATTCGTATAAAAACACAACAATAAATATTTCAATCAATCATGTCTTAACCAAAAAAAAAAAAACAACTTTCAACTAATTCGAAGACTAGGATCTTTGTGTATGATTACATGTTGTTATTCTCGCATTTCCTCTTTAAACAAGATGTGTTCGAAAAACAATGGTGCCCTGTATAGCAGATCAAGGTAAACATATAATAAATATTGATACTAAAAATAGATTGTCATCTGAACCAACTTTTCAGAAGTTAGTACATTGAGTCTGTCTTATAAAAAATCATTAAAAAAATTTAAAGATAAGTACAGTTAACTTTGATGGAAAAAAGTAAAAGAAACTACAGCTTACTTCATACTTCTCAACATTTTTATTACAAACGATATGAGATGTCAGTTTGATGAACATTGAAATTCTATCTCAGGAGCATTGCCGCTGTTTCGTAAAACATCCACACATCATATATCTGACGCTAGTTCGGAATCTGGAATCAAAGAATCCATAAAGAAATGAATTAAAAATATTGTTGATGAAAACTGATCTTGTAACGATCGGCAACAAAGCAGAAGAAAACGGACCAGGCTCAGCGACAAAGCTTCCCTTAATATTAGTCCAAATATTTATAATTAAAAATGGCAGATAACTAAGAATGTATAGTGAGCTGACTGCGAGAGCAGTTCTTGTCACCTTCCGAGATTTTACTTCGGAAGTCCTATTCAATTTAGGCCCTTTGTCCTTGTTTATGGAAATACATTTTCTGATCTGGTTGTCATTTCTGTTTATTACATATATACTATGACAACTTAAAGCCTGGTTTCTAGACTCTTGCAGCTGTCGCCTCTTTTTGTTTTGTTTGAATATACATAATGCAATACGAATATAAATTACAAGAAGCGATATGATGTTGAATGCAAAGCAACACAAAAGGCTTAGATTATGAATCAAGGGCAGCATAGATTCTTTGAATGTATCTTCTGTCCCACAGTCAAAACCTGTAATGTTGTACTTTAAGTGAACGTGGCTAATTCCAGAAATCCAAAAGACGGGTGTTGATACAAAAACTGATATCAGTAGTCCACTGATGCATGACAGTCTCCCAGCATTTACAGTAAACTGGCGATTCTCGTCGATACCTGTCCAGGGAAAGTCCAAATATGGTAAAACTTGACATAATACCAATGACAGTATTCAGGAATCGGAAGGATTTACATAAACCATCCCAATAAAACGTGTACTGAAATACCATCTCAAAGATTTCAAATGGCATGCTTAATGTACACGCAGCGAAATCAATGATTGCTAAAGTTACAATAAAGGTCCGGTACGTGGTCTTCTTAAACCGATTTAAGAAAACAAGAATAATACTTATATTGGACGGTATTCCAATACATATGAGAATTCCAAGATAAATAATTGGTGGAAGTCTTCGGTGGACCTCTGCCATATTTAAATCTTCCAAAGATACACAATCTGGGGAATTCTGACTGTTATTCATAGAGGGATTCTGGAGCTGATAGGATATAACTGCTCTGCAATAAATTATGAAGCCGTGTATTGCCTTTGGTACTGTCCAATAAATATAGATGTTAATCTGCAGTGTCCGCCCAATGAAAAAGGACAAGAGTAGAGCAAACAAATGCAATGGATGGAATGAGATATGAGTAAACAGATACTTCAGTTTTTTTACGAATTGCAAAAACACCCTCCTTTGTTCTAATGTACGTATTGAGTCATCCATCCATTTATCGATGATTGGGAGATGTTTTTTTACACGAAAATTATCATCTACTGATTGATAAACTGTTTATTTATATAACAACTTTGGGAAAACCAGGGTTTTTTAATCTGTGTAGGCCCATCTTACTTCTAGTTTTTTGTACTGATACGGAAATCGAAGATGTAAACAATGAAACATATGGAGACATGTATCTCAGTTGATTAAATACACAAGAGCATGCTCTACGTATGAACAATTTTCAAAACGAGGTAAATTACTGACAAACAAGTGGATGGAACAAGAATAAACAGTCTCGTTTAATGCCATCATTTCGTAAGTTCTATGGTCGAAACAATTACCTTGTCAGCAAATACAATTTATCATTGCGTCAAATGCTGAATGACGTTGTTCATACTTATTGTTAATCCATTATTTATACTCTGAATTGACGACGAATATTTTTACGTATTTTCCCAAAAACACGGCGGGTGTGACCGGTCGGCAGGGGATGCTCACTCCTCCATGGCACCTGATCCCACTTCTGATGTTTTGAAGGTCGTGTTTGCTCTGCTCCTATTTTGTATTGTTTTATGGATTTTTGATCTTGAATACTGTTCTTTATCTCCATCTCTATGCTTCATTGAATTTCTCTCAATTATTCATCATATTAAGCTATAGCGTCCATTAAAATATTTTTGAAGTACATTATTGATCCTAATATTCAAACACATAAATAATTACCTATTTATGTGTTTGAAGACGCCAACCTCCGGTTACTTAGGCAACTACTGGGTATGCTTGATACCGAAATGTAATGACACTTACACTGGCCATGTGAGCAAAAATTTAAGCATGATTCTACAGAGAGGAATTTTGTTTGTACAAGCTATATTTACATTGTTTATGACTGTTGCAACCCAATATAGCTATATTTTGAGAAATAATTCGTTTTACAAAGCTTTAAATTGTTCAGAATTTCGTGTGACTAGTTTGATTCAATGCGTTTCTCTTGCTGCCGAATCAAAGGATGTTTCATTTTTCTTCAATACAAATGACAAAGTCTGTAAATGGCAATGTGTGTTTTTATATAGCTTTGAAAATTTAGAAGAAAGTTGGCGTAGATTTGGTGAGTAAATATCTTAAATGTTCTCTCGCAAGCTATCACTATCTCACTTCTGGTGAGTTTTCTTTGATCGGATACATATTTTATGTAAACGTACAGACGGCGTTTTAGAAATGTATTGGGTAGAATTTGATGTTTGATTTGATTTGATGTAGATCACTTTCATACTGGTAATTTCTTTGAAAGATATCAACAGGATTTCATGTATTTTTTAAATGATCTCAGTTTGTGTTTTAAGAAATCGAGAATATGATATATATGTAGCTTCAGTTTTTGAAACATTTATTTATTAGATTTTTACAAATAAACATTGCCCTGATTTTTTAAAGTCACGTTAAAGCCCGTGAACTTCATAATTAAAAATCTGCCTTCATTTAAGAAATTGTAAAATGGAAAGCGCTGTGAAATGCACAATACAATCAATTGACATGGAACATACCATAAACGCCGTCCTCTCATTGCTACGATGAAGGCCTCTATCAAGAATCAGAATTGAGGATTACTCTAAAATACTTAATATAAACCTTGTAATTAAATTTCTATTGAATGAAAAAAACTTTTTTTGCTCTTCCTCAAAGAGAAGAAAAGGCTATTGTTAGAGAAAAAAGAGAGAATTCGTTACTGAACTAATAATGACATACATTCCACATGAACTAGAGTAGGACAATAAATCTAACACGGGAAATAAGTTTGTTACCGCTACATCTACGACATGCACCCATAGACAAATAATCAGTATTTATAATAATTTTCTTTTTTGTGGTAGAGTTAGAATGGAAGAGAAACTCAGCTTTATTTCAACCATCCATGGCTTCTTCTGTCTATGGAAGCGACCCTAAGAAATGGGGTTCCAGCCTTGCAACGGATGGGAAAATTAAAGGCGGAGTTGCTGATACGGGATTTTTTTCTACAAGCTTTGAAAATTCTCCATGGATACGTGTTGATTTAAAAGACAACCTAATAATTGCCTTTGTACGCGTGTTCAATAGGATGTATAAATTAGGTGAGAGTGCTACTTTGATTATTCTTTTAAAACATGTACGGCTTTGGGTACTATAAACTATTGTAAGACCTTTGTTATTCTACTGATTTGACCACGGAATTTTTTGAATACCTGATCAATACATAGAGCTCAGGGCAGATGTGACCGGTCGACAGGGGATGGCGTCTTCCTCTAGGCACCTAATCCTATCTCTGCAATTTCCTAGGTTCAATGTTCAAGTCCTCTGCATATTTTTGAGTTGTTTATAGATTATTAAGGTCGATCATTTTTGTTATCTTCACTCTTTTTATCAGGGGAGAGGCTCCATGATGTTGCTCTTGAGGTGTCGAGGGGTGAAGGTTACGAGCAGAGAGGATATTTTAGAGGACCAGGGGTTACAAATCAAGTGGTGGACATTCTGTGTGATCCCCCATCTCTTGGGAGATATGTTAGATTGAAGATTATCAATGGAGGGAATAATATTCTGCAAATCGATGAGATGGAAATATACACTCTATTTTAAAAATTCCTTTGTATACTTTCCACTATATTTTATGCATATATTAAAAATAATCTATATGTTATTCAATTTAATGGCAGATGTATCTGTAAAACAAATAAATTTGAAGTCAATTTTGTCAAATTTTTGTAGCATTTTCTGATTCCTCAAATCTCAATTACAAGAAAGACGGCTCATTGATACAATAAATTAATAAATTCTTCAGAATGATATAATTTAAGCTCTAACACAACATTTAGTTAGATAAAAGATTTACTCCTCACTAAAATATTAACAGTAGTGAAAAAGAAACTTTAGAAGTACTGCGCAACAATATCTTCAGAAGTGGTGTGGGTACTTAAAAATTCCAAGGAACTTTTCAAATATTTGAAGTCACAAACTTTTACCAAAATCAACAGCATTAAAACGTATGATTTTTCAACTTAATATACTATTATTCCCCAAAATAAATAAAAAAAAGCCCAGGCTTATCAACTTTCTACACAACCATACCCAACGATAAATTTAAGTCCAGGCTTTTTGATATCAGCTGCTTTTTCAATAAAAATGGAACTCTTTAATTCACTTACCTTGACATTGGGCATTTGCAAAATTAGTTTGTTACAATATTCTGATTGTACACACAAGTACTTTGAAGTTGACATCGAAAAGATGCTTGAGTTTCTGATTGAAAATATCTATGTTGTTTTTGGAGACCAGGTCTTCCAACAAATATTGGAAATTCTATGGGTACCAATTGCACTCCGTTACTAGCAGACCTATTTTCGTATTCATATGAAGCATAATTTGTGCAAAATCTTTTGCATGAAAAGAAAAAAAAAACACTTGTTGTGGCTTTCAACTTGACATTTAGATATATCGACTACGTACTGTCAATTAACAATAGTAATTTTCATTCCTATGTCTATACGATATATCACGGTGAGCTTAAGATAAAAGATACAAAGATACCACAGAGTCTGACACATGTTTCACATTTGGATATTTTACTTGAAAAAGTCGTTAATGGTAATCTAACAACGAAGCTCTATGATAAACGTGATGACTTTAACTTTTCTATCGCCAACTTCCCTTACCTATACCTTCATCACCTGCCTACGGAGTTTATATATTTCTGATGATTCGATGCGCAAGAGCATGCACTACGTATGAGCAATATCTAAAATGAGATTAATTACTGACAACAATTTGATGAAACAAGAATTCAGCTGTCTCGTTTAAAGTCATCATTTCGTAAGTTCTGTGGTCGATATAATGACCTTGTCAGCAAAAACAATTTATCAGTGAGTCAAATGCTGACTGACGTTTTTCATACTAATCGTTAGTCTATTATTTATACAATGAACTGATGACGGATTTTTTCATTATTTCCCGATCATGACAATGAGCACACGGCAGGTGGGACCTGTCGGCAGGGGATACTTACTCCTCCATGGCACCTGATCCCACCTCCGATGTTTGCTCTGCTCCTATTTTGTATTGTTAAAAGGACTTTTGATCTTGAATATTGTTCGTTATCTCCATATGTTTCACGTACAAACAGACAGACGACAGATAAAAATTAAGATCAGAAAAGCTCACTTGAGCACTCTGCTCAGGTGAGCTAAACACTACCGACTAAGAAGTAATCGGGAAAGCCTGTATGACTCGGGTAATTTTTAGATATTTTAGAGCCCATGAAATTGGAACAAGTAGTATCATAGTAAGTTTTATAAAACAAAGCATCAAACTGACTATCATTCAAATAACATCAAAACAATACCTAATTACTCTGTCAGAAGGCAAGAAATTTAACTTGGTACTAAAATTTAGAAATATATCAGGCCAGAGTTTGTTCCAAAACAAATCATTAGGAAATATATAATACCAAGTACGTAATTAAGGAAATTTTAAAAGCCTAAAATATCAGAATGAATCTATCAAAACAAATTAAGTATCATTTATGCAACACATCAACCAGAATCGGGACAAAAGCAAAAAAAAAAAAAGAAACATTGAGTAATAAAATGGCAATGTAACATATACTGCAGGACAAAATACCAAGAGACGAATACGAATACGCTTTTTCTCTTATGAATTTCTTATTGACAGCTTGCAACAGACAATCAATAATGAAAGTTGATGATAATAAATTTGATTGCATCTTTTCATTAAAAATTCCAAAACGCCGTCCCTATAATCCTTTTTTCTTTGTTTTAATCGACGGCTATAGATAATTATCTATTTTATCTCAAGATACCAGAGTTAATTTTCAATACAGACGAATATTTGATGATTAAAAATTTACATAAGTTTAATCTACCTGCTCATTTTTATTCTGTCAATAAAAGAATTCCCATAAAGATTAACCATAGTATTAACAGTACTATAGTGTATAAAACTTCCATAAACAGCAGGAAAATTCCACATGGTAGCTATGACGATGACATGGTGTCGGAAATCTTTCACGTCTACTGTATATTATTAGCTAGGCTTCCTGTCAGTTTGAGTCTATATACTTGTAATCAATACCCAACTAATATCGTATAGCGTTCAAAGGATTTTTACAGGGTAGGGAATGTCCATTCCTCAGTGGCACCTGATCTCTCTTTTGATGCTTAGGAGGTCTTTGTTTGCTCTGAACTTGCTTGATTTGTTTTGATTAAATGAACTTGACTTTTGGGCTTGAAAACTGTTCGTCTGTTCTATATATTTCATTTCATGTGATTATTCTTTTCAAAAATCATTTCACAAATGTTATTTCTTATATTAATCAAATGCTTTAATTACATTATGAAATTAAATTCTTTGCAAAATGGCCGTTCCATTTGAAGAAATCTAAAATAAAAATATGGTACATTCATAGTTGACTTGCGGTCTGCACATTGTCTTTGCTCTGCTTTGATTGCTAGAATGTTGTTTTATATCCCATTCGCGAATCTTGCACTCATACATAAAGACACTATATACCGCTGAAAAGCTTCAAATTTTGACCTTTACTCGGCACTCAGGGTCATTGATCAGTGAGATATTTTTTGTCTTTTCAATGCCTGTCCTGACATAGAACCTCCGTCTGTAAGATGTGTCAAATCAAAAAGAAAAATAGAATATGCACAATGGCACTATACTAGTATATAACAAAGATTCTGTGAAAGTCTAATTAAATTTCATTCAGTGGTATGAGAAGAGTTGCAGACAAGATATAGATAACCAAAACCGTAACAGACAGACGGACGGACATACCAATTACCGATACTTTTCAAGCGGGGGGGGGGGGGGTGAAACAGATATGTCCGAATCTGGTATCTTTACCTCAAGCTCACCGGCATGTCGTATCGACATAAGAATGGAAATAACCATTGAAAATTGACAACATGTTGGCGATATATCTAAATGTCGAGTTGAAGGCCAAGTGTTTTTTTCTTTTCATGCATAAGATTTTGCAAAAATTCTGCTTCATATGAATACAAAAAATGTTGCTAATAACCCTGCGCAGTTGGTATCCATGGGAATTCCAACAAATTGTTGGAAGACCTGGTCTCCAAAAACGACATAGATATTGTCGATCAGAAACTTGAGTATATTTTTGATGTCAACTTCTCTTATGTGTATCATCAGAAAGTTTTTAACAAAATAATTTTGCAGATGACAATGACAAGCTAAGTAAATTTACGAGTTCCATTTTAATTGAAAAAGCAGCTATCATTGATATTAAAAGCGTAAAAGTTTTTAAGCTGTTGATTTTGGTAAAATCTCAACTTCTCTTATGTGAATCATCAGAAAGTTTTTAACAAAATAATTTTACAGATGACAATGACAAGTACGAGTTCCATTTTAATTGAAAAAGCAGCTATCATTGATATTAAAAGCGTAAATTTTAATTTATCGCGGGGAATGGTTATGTATAAAGTTGAAAAGTCGTAAGTTTTTAAGCTGTTGATTTTGGTAAAATCTTGTGATATTTAATTTTTCAAAAGTTCCTTGAAAATTTTAAGGATCCAAATCTGATTTACACGACTTGTCGACAATATTGTTACACAGAACTCTTAAAGTTTGTCCTTCACTACTGTTAATAGCTTATTGAGAAGTAAGGAAAAAGGTTTGTTGAGCATTTACTGGAACCCGCTATGTATCTTTGTTTTAAGGATTTTTATGAAGTTTTGGAATCCAGTATAGATATGGTAATTCAAATTCACTTTGGTTGTTTGGGATATTAAAAATATTCAAAACTGACATATGATTTTAAACAATTTCTTCCTTAGAAAGGGAACTATGAGTATAAGTTAGATTACCACTTGTAGAATTAACTCCACGTTCTTCTAAAATATAATTTATATAATGAGCCTTCTTGAATACAGAAGGATAGATAGTTTTCATATTGCCCCTCAATCTTTTAATGCGCGATTGTAACACAAATAAGATACATTTAATCCATTCTGACAAAGTGTCAACGTCTTCTATTTCACATCAGGCCGAATGCCTGGCGTCACCATATGCCGGCGAAGGGCTTCAAATTTTGACCTTTATTCCGCACTTAGAGCCTTAAAGCAGTGACAGATCTTTATCATGCCAACGTCTGTCGTGACAAAGGGCTTAGGTTTTTCATGTTTCATCCGAAGGACCCCCAACTTTCATTTTCAAAGGGCCGAGCGCATGTCGAAGAAACGGTTGATACCAATTTTATATTGACCTAAGACAACCTTGGTCGAGATTCGAACTCACAGCCTCCCGATCACGGTATATATTATAGAAAAACTTATTAACACTTGCAATTAATATACTATCATAAGGAATAAAAATTCATGATAATAACTTTGACTGAAGGTTTTTAAATCTGGAATTCCGAAATCCGATCCATATCAAATATTCATCTTTCTCCGATTGACTGCTTTTTACTAAAACGCTTTATCACTCTTTCCTTAAAGCAACACAATTGACTTTTAAGGTAAAGGAATATTAAATGCTGATTTTTTTTAGATAACACGAATAGCTAAAAACTGGATGAGGCGAAATAAACAAATTGTATTGAAGCTGCAAAATTCTAAATCAATTGATACGTTCTGGTGCTATTACGAGAAAAGAATTATAGA